TGTCTCACAGTGTGTTCATATCAGGTATATATCGTCGGAGTTCTGTATCTCTCTCTCTCTCTCTAAATTATTATATAGTAAAAGTTATTCTGTACTCTGATCATTTAAATTCTTGAATTTATTATCAAAACATTTTCACACCTTTTTATGGTATTCTAAATTTAGGAGTTATTTATTATATAATGAATTTATAATAATTATATGTTAATGATGATGAATAATTTAATCAAAATTAAACCTATAAACCTGAGTATAATTAATTTTAAGTTATTAATATTTTATAAGTTTTCACACAATTTTTAATTAGTAATTTAATAAAATTAGTAATTTCTCTATAAATGAGAATAATTATGAGAAATATCTAAAACAATTGTCCAATCATTTGAACCACCGGTGCTCCAGCACTTGAACCATAGTATAGCGCTGTTTAACGTTGGGCTCGAGTAGCTTTTGGATGAGCTCTTTGCACTCAGGGGTCAGGGATTTGCGGTCAAAATTGATGTTCTTTTCCAACTGGTGTTTCAACAGATCTTTCAAATTGTCGTTAACGGCAACGAATGGCAGTCTGTTGTTGACCAACACATATCTGTTGGATGATCACAAAGTTATTATTTCATATTTAAAACACTAACACATTTCAATTTCTTACAACACCACTCCCATGGACCAGACATCACTGATCATCGGGTTATACGGTTCCACTTTGAGTATCTCTGGAGCCGCGTAGGCAGCGCTGCCGCAGTAGGTCTTACTCAGGACTCTCTGTCCTGTGGTGTTGTCAAAACAGGTGCGCGAAAAGCCAAAGTCACCGATTTTGGCAACAGTTCTGTCTTTATTCAGCAGAATGTTCTCACTCTTGATGTCCCGGTGCGCGAAGCCCTTCGTGTGGATGTATTTGATGGCTTCCGACACCCCTTTATACAGCGGTTTGGCTCTGGGCTCAGGGATTGCCCCGTCCTTCTTGATGAGGTCCAGTATGTCTCCGCCGTCCGCCAAATCCATGAATATGTAGATTCTGTCACCGATTGTGGAGATGTCATGGATTCCGATAATATTCGGGTGCTTTAGTTTTGTCA